GACTCACGAGAAACGACCTGAAAGGACAAAAACAATTAAACAAGGAGTTTAAGAAAATCACGACGGAACGGCAACGGCAACAGGAACACCGCTAAACAAAAGGTTTAATGAGCAGAACAATGGCTGTGTACGTGCGTTAGAAATCTTTGTAAATTTCTTTTCGTCCTCTGCAAAACAACAACGTGAAATGAGCAAACTTTGCGTTGTCTGGGTAACATGAACGACGACGGCTAATTTATTTCTAATTTAACATTGTGTTCCATGTTCAATTTCGAGACAGTTTTGATAGTGAGAAACAGGCTAAATGACTTTACAGTATCGCGAGACTCGTAGGTAAAATATGAGTTCATTTTTTACCGACGTTGTCAACGGCGTCGCTTTTTAATCCTTTAAGTCCCACTAGTGACCAAGACAGAATTTCTCCTTACACTATCAGTACGTTATCAAGCAGACAAGTAATGAGAATGAAGAATATCAATTGGGGATTATTGGTCGATTCAATTCCAAATTTTCCAAAATAACATCACATAAGTTGTATGTCAGACAGTAAGGAGAATTACTAATGAAATCTTGGGAGTTAAAGGGTTAAACTCCTAATGAAAGAGCGGCGACGGTCATGTGCTCAAATATATATTGATTTTTGTTCGGGCCGGTTAGGTCATTACTTACGGACCTAGCGCGGCGAAGAATCATTAGTTCAGTTGCAAAGATTTCCTAAATGTTTTCACGAGCGAAAGAATTTGATTCATCTCTGTGGCTTTTCATTTCTCTGCTGTTTAAAAGGACTGGTGTTTCGAGGAGTGCTGTTGTCGTGTCAAAGAAGTCTTCTGGTTTCATTCCTTGGAGAACAGCAGCTAGAGTAGGAAAGAACAGGTAATGTAATAATGAAATAATGTCGCGTGTCTCGCGATTTAGTTACCTCAAATATTCATATGTTTGCGCCATTTCGACTACGTACCTCAAGACTATCACAGGCGAGAAAGACGCCTGTTCGCTTGTGACTCTATGAAGCATTGTGTTGTGGTCTTTGCCCTTTGTCTTTTTTTAGCTGTTATCCGGCAGTCTGCTGTCACACAATTCTCCTGTTCAGTTTTTAGGGTCGATTTCCGTCGCTCTCTACCCTCCGGTCTTCGCTCTTCCGGGGTCGGGGACAAATCGGGGACATCCGTGTTTCTGGAAGCTCGAGTCCACCGTCTCTTTTGACGTTCATAAGGCGAATTCTCATGAAACGTGGGGGCTACGAGCGAGCTCAGTCATCAGCTTGCCTTTGGGATTCAGGATTGTTGGGCTTTTTCCAAGACGGAAAAATAGCGCTTGCAAAAGTTTTTACCAGTATGTTTTGGTTCCACTTTCTTCCAACAGGCACAAACTTGGACGACAAAATGCACAAGACGGCTCGTCAGTTAAGAAAAAGAAGGTATGTTTAATGTCGATGGAGTCTTAGCAATTGTTGAAATCTCGTATATGCGTTGTAAATGCTTAGTAAATTGCTGTGGTATAATTAATTATCGTTAATTGAATGTTTCTGGATTCGTGTCTCGTTTGATTATTAATGCTTGTAATTTTTCTTAGTTTCTCGACTTTAAGTTTGCTTATCTTCCTTCCCTGGTTTTTTTTGTTCGGAGTGTGCTCTGTGTGCATGGTTGGCCCGCACTAAGAACGCAGGAGACGTGTGCGGGAGTGAAGACGCGCGTGACGTCTCGCTTGTTCGTCCACGCGCTCTCAAATCGCACGCTTTTTACGCAGCCGGCCTTTATTTTGCTTCTGTTTTACATTAGGTGAAGTCTTCTGTAAGCAAACCTCGAGCCACAAGTTCGCCATTGGCGTCTGAAGAAGATGACCTTCCATCGCACCGAACGAGTACCACTGGTAAAACTAGACTGTTATCGTCAATTAACTCTTAACTGCCACTGACTTTTGTTTAGTTTAGTTTTGTTTGTTTACGCAAAAAGTTTCTGTTGTGTTTCGAGAGGAGTCTTAAACGAAATGGTTTCAAACAGGGCTTCAGGTGGTTCCTACTCTTCTCCGTATTCCACTCTCAAGAAAAATTTGCATGTCTAAAGAACGATTACAAACCGAGGGAATGCAAGTAATTTAACACTTTTGACAAAATTTATAGCGCAAATTTCGTGACCAGAGAGCTATTTATATTCAGTCCTTTCTTTTCTTGTGTATCTGTGTGCTATTTTAAATTACTGCTTACTAATTTACATTTCAGATTCCTCTGTTGATAATCGTGAAAAATTAAAGGACATGCAGGTACATGCTGTTGAAAGTGCCGTACTTTCTAACGAGTCTTTTTTCTTCCCTCTTTTTTCAAATACTAGTTTAATTATGGCAGCCAGTCTATAAATATAAAATTTAACTTTACTTACTCTCAAACATTGCTTCCAATCAGTTAGAGATGGAACTTCTCAAACGCCGGCTTGAAGACGAAAGTCGAGCGCGTGCGACAGCCGACTCGAGAATACTCGAAGTAAGTTACTCATGTAACGTTAATATATATCTTAAGTTTAGGAGTCAGCTAAACCGTTGATTCCTAATAGTGATTGACATTTAATTTCTCCTTACAATATCACCCTGAATCAAACATTTACGTCACGAGAATAAAGGAAATGATTACCAACCAAGAAATCTCTTGATTGTTAATCGAATTCTGCTTGTCAGTACCGTAGGAATTGTGCAGAGAACAGTATGGAGAATTTGGATACTGATGTTAAGGTGTAAAGGGTTTGACACAGAGAGTAAAGGAGTAATCTTTAACTGTATTTCCAGTTTTACTTTCCATTCGACTACGGTGCATTTGATCGTTTTAGTTGAGACTGAAAACGTGCGATCTTCTTACGCCTCTATCGATATATCTGTAGGGCGTATCTACACATTTTGCCGTCCTAATCTTTTCCTGTTTCGTTTTAGCTGCAAGTCGAGAACAGAAGACTGCAGCAAGAAATACGACTTTTGAAGACACAGCAAACAGTAAGTATATTGCGCCAACAGCCAGTAATACTTTGACTTTAAAGAAATTTACTCTAACTAACCGTAATCAAGTTCGTTCCTAGTAGACTTAGCTTTAACTTTGTTGTTGTTGTTTGTCGTTTATATACAGTTACCACCAGCTCGTCCTTTGTCTCTGAATGGCACGTTCTTGAACACGGTCCCTGAGAAACAAAAGATCGGAGGTGCGTGCATTTATTGCCATGTTAATGTACACGAAAAAATTACGCGCTTTAGATTGGCTGAAAACGGGTGAATTCTCACGTAACACGGGTGCAAAGTTGTAACACAAGCGCACACCCTTTCAAAATTTCGTCTATTCTGACTTTGTGTGATGTTTTTCATGTACATAATTAACAATTAAGAACATTATTTCTCTTGCAATTTGGTGTTGTAAGTTCTTGAAGACTACAAATTGCACTTGCCCTACGGGCTCGTGCACTTTAGTTGTCCTTAAAAAAATTAACTCGTGCTTATTTGCGCCAAATTGCACGAAAAAATCGTGTTATTACCTATACTTATTCTTCTGTAACAGAGCTGTAGAACTTCTGCGCATGTCATGGAGTTACATTTGTATCCAAAGCGACGGTGTGAATGATTCATAGTGGGGGAAATCGTCAAAAAAATTTTAATTTTATTGAACTGTGTATATCCTCTCAAATGTTATTCTGCATGCTCAATCAAAACCTGCACAAAATGTATTTTCGCGATCGAACTGCGAGGTTAAATCAAGGTTAAAACCGTGACATTCAATGGTTATTTTGTGCGTCTGTTAAAGGTCAGTCTGTCGTTTAAGTGTTAGCTTAACTCTCTACTTATGTCATAACCAGGGCAAAGAAAAGGAAAAAAAATAAAACACCGTCTGCTTGTTGATTTTTCTAAAATCCCGCCATTGCCTTGGTATGATTACACTGACGAGCTCGCGTAAGCTCGTGAAATAGGCGAAAAAGTTTTTTTTTCCAGCTTTGTTACCCTCTATCTGTGTGCAAGGTACTCTCTCTGCCTTTATGTCTTTCTGACTGCTTGTTTGTGTGACTGGCTGACTGTTTGTCCGCCCTGTCTATCTGAAGGAGCGAAAACCATTCTCGAAGACGACCGCGTACTGGAGAGCATCGAAGCGTCTTTCAGACAATTCCATGGTTTCTTGGATCTGCTGAAAGGATCCAAGTAAGTGTTTTTTTTTCAATCATCCTTCTTTATTTGTCTTGAAGAGATTTTTGTTCGAAGGTTGGGTGCAACACAGCCCCTTAACTCGAACTGCTATGGGAAACGAAACATAACCCTAGACGTTGAATTTACTGGAATCTTTATAAGGGGAGATTACTCTAAGTTCGAGTTGATTGAGGTCGAGTTAGCCAAGCTCTACAATAATTGAGTAATTTAGTATTATTAACTGAGTTGATAACGTAAACAATATCGATAACAATTGCATGTTTGTATATGATCCCCTTTTTTACTTCCTTTTCCTCCAGGTTCAGTGATCTGGCGCATGTTCTTGGAGAGAACAGCAGCTTACCTGAGCCTGACAATGGCCTTTCACCAATAACAGAAGAGTCCTCTGGTACTGCAAGATGACGATTGGCTAAGTATTTCATTTCAAATTGGCCCATGTAAAATGGCTCTTTTAAATTTATCTTCGTGCCTAACGTCCCTATCGACAATACTGTATAGACATTGAACCAGTTACCTCGAAGTTTATTTACGATTTAAGGTTTATTTTGTGTTTTTTTTTTAATACACGATACAAAGATACCAGATCGTTTCTCTTTTTAAAACCAGCAAAAGTTTTGTTACCTAATTTGTTACTGTTTGTTAATTCATCTTGATTTTCATCCCGTATATTAAGCCAACATTATTAAACTGTACATTTTTAACAGTTTATCTTGGTCTAACTCTCTCTTTCTCCGCTGTGGAAAATGCTGCTGCTATGAGCAACGAGTTTGCAGCATAAGGCTGTGGTGCGAGATGAACGCGAGAACTTTTGGGAATGTTAAGTTTTTTTTACGAGGGAATTCGGCTTCTTCGACCAGCTTGTGAATGAAAATTTAATGGGCGCCTTTCCAAATGTAAATCTTAGTATGTTTATGATAATGACGGTACGAAATTGGTTATGGTTTTTAGAAGAATATATGCTATCTTCGATAACTGTCGACACTTAAATAAAACTCGATCTAGTACCAACTAAAATTTTCAAAACTATGCAACTCTTGCCGTTACGGTACAAATTGGTTATTTTTTTAAAGAGGATTACATGCTTTTTTCACGTTTCCTCTTTCATTGTCTCTCTTGGTTGATCTTGCTTTAAAATTTCCACCATCTCCAGGGCATTAGCTCTAGTTCCACACGTTGAATTTGACTTCCTGCTCGGTCTGCGCCCGTATGACGCATGCGTAGATATGCTCCTCTTGCTACTTGATCGTTTTCTTACGCGTGACCTCCTAGGCACACTTCCATTAGTTTCTGATCCGGAACCACTGCGCCTGCGCGGTAAACGCTTATACATCAAATTGGCGGGAACCTGCGAAAGCGGGGCCATCTTTGTAGATCGCCGCGGTTGTTGTATACGCGTGCGCGCTTGCATGTAAAAATAAGAGAAGTTGCTGCCAATCACTGAGACCGGAAGTGCAATTATGATGACGCCGCAGATGGCGCACATTGCCCCTATAACTTTCCCAACTTTCGTTACCGGAACTACATCACCATACCCGAGTGTTGTGACAGTCACGATAGCCCACCAAAAAGACTCTGGGATGCTGGGAAACATCTCTTCGTTGTTTTCATTCTCAGCGAAGTAAATCATGCTCGAAAATAAGATGATTGGCACAATAAGGCTGAAAAACACCAGAAAGAGCTCATTCTTGCTTGATATTAGTGTATGGAATAAGATTTGGAATGAAAAGGACAAACTGAAAATGCGGAAAATTCTTAGCGTTCTCATCACAACAAGCCAAGATGTTCTTGTCCCGATGTGGTACAATGAAAGATAAAATGGTAAAACAGCAAGTAGATCCATCCAGTTCATGGGATTCTTTGCAAAGTTTTTGAAATTCGGACAGAAGATGAGACGAAGAAAAAATTCCACTGTGAACCAAATCGATGTCACGGCATCTAGAATCCGCAAGATCCTCATCAGCGTTGCGTTATCTTTGATGGATGTCACGGTGCTAAGGCAGAATTGCGTGACTGAGACCAAGATAAACAGACTTGTCAAACCAATGAATACCTAAAAAATATTTGAGAATTCTTCAATGAGCATGGAAAAGCAAGCCTAGTATAGCGTGAATTCTCGAACCCGCAGATGTCATGTATAGATCTGGTTCTTGTTTCTGCTGCATGGGTTTTTCTCAGTTTTCCTCTGGCTTTATTTTTCGTATTCAGAAACCAAGACTTGAAATTCCAAATTTTTAAAGGGTAAACTAGGGCTATATTTGGTGTTTCCCTTTCATAGAAATAAATATAAACTGCTAGCAAACCAGAGAATAAACTAACTTCAAGCAAAAAATGTAGAACCAGCGTAAAAAAATTGTTTTTGTTTGGTGAGGGATCTTATAAAGGAGAAGAAAACCCTTGAAACCGAATGATTTTTATCTCCACCATTTGAAAGCGTAGAGGAATTATATGAGCGACTGCGTTTTGGGATTCCAGAGAGTAACATAGCCTTACGAAAATTGTTTCAAATTAGCTTGGAATCAGACTGAGGACACAAGCATTTTGAGTCTTACTTAGCAGCCTGGTAGCTTTCCTGTGATGTAATAAAGCCTTGCCCCTTATTCTGCATCTCTTGGAAGTTTTTCTGACTGGTTACTCACTGATGTTTTTTTGTTTTTGTTTTTTTTTACTGAAATAGGTGCGTCTGTAATCAAAATTTTAGAGCATTTGAAGACAATTTTCGATTGGTACAGTTGGTCTTTAGAAGCTAAATGTGGAGTCCTAGACAAAAAATAGGTAGAGATACAAAAGATATGGTTTAATTGTGGATAAATTTCTACTGTAAAGGAAACTTTTTCCACACGGCGACCATTACAAAACTGATCCCCCACTAAGGAAACGTCAATATGTCGCCAAATGTCTAAAAAAGAAACAATTAAATATCAAGGTAATCAAAAGACTTTTTGAATGACCTTCACATTAAAACGGAGTCTTAAAATCTTATTGCCTGGGGTTCGATTTCCTCCTCTATTTAAAAAAAACCCAAGACTCCTTTCCTTATCACCACCTTATTCTGTTTCTTAGCCGTGTTTCTATCAAGCTTTTGAACTGAATTGTCAATCGTGTTTAAAATGAATTGATCAGCACTGTTTAGAAATTGAAATGAAGGTTAAAACGATCAGGTGTTTGCAGCGCATTTATGACAGATCTTCTCCGAAAAACACCTGCTACCTTGATTGCGTTTAATCTGTTGGTTATGGACTTGAATGAGTCCGTATTTGACCAATGGTTGAAGATACGACTTGTTATGCTCAGGTATAATTTCTCTCTAAAAGGGTTGTGCAATTCGCAAATTGCACACTTGGAGCTTATCAAAGGATAGTGAAGTGTCGAAACTGAATTTTTTCGGGATGAATGGTAACCCTTGCTGTGAGATAACTATAACAACAGCTCGGTTATTTTTATGCAAAGAGAAACATCTTTTGCATGGTTGAAAGAAGTATAGATGAAATATAATTTCCCTAGATAAATGCATTTTTTCTCTTATTGCCTACAAGATAAATAGAAAAAAAATTTAAAAGATAAAGTACTCTTTATTTTAAATTTGTCTCTGAGACAGTTTTCTGCAATATGAAATTCTTTGACAGATTTTCAGCAAGCTTTTCAAAATCGCCACCAAAATAAAAGAGAAAACTAATTTTTAAAATTTATTTGACAAATTTGTTCTTCCTCTTTCGAAAATTATGTAAAATTACGGGAGGAAAAATTTCTTCTCCGGATCAGGATCAACATTAAAATTAAAAGTTATCTCTACATTCTCACCTTTGCCGCAAGAGAAGAGCGTGGATCGTCCAACAGCGCCCAAACTTTGGGCCGAAATTGCCTCCATCTTTCACGATTATTCCTCGTTAAAACAGTCTCTGATCCAAACAAGCTTGCTATGGTTGCCCGCTTTTTCGCACCTTTAGCATTACTTGTGCAACCTCCGGACGCTTTCCTCGCATTATCAAGATGAAATGTTTTAAGTGTCTCCTCTGTGTTCATCTGCCGCTTGTACAAGACCCAACAACATGGCTCGATATCCCGTTCGTTTATTCCCCAGTACGACAATTCCTCTTGAAATAGCGCCGAGCAAACATCGGCTGGGCAATGAAGCTTGCCAATGCGGTAATAATTCAAAACTTCGGTAAATATTCGTGGATGTCGGTCGAAGAAGTATTCTCCAAGCACGGGGTCGAAATCGGGGCTGTTTGGATGGTTCTCCGCAATCCACGACAACCGAGTATCAGGAATATTTTTTAACGTCGTCAAAAAAGTGTTGTGTCGAAAACCGCCAACGTTTATAGTTACTCTGTCGTTTCTCAAAACATCAAACATGTTTTCAATACAAGCTGTGGAAATTTTGCCTGTCGTTTTTTTTTTTTATGTGAGTGTTTTTTGTTGCGAGGAACAGTTTACGCTGAGTGACTGAGATGAAGCGAACCAATGATTGGATCTCTACAGTATTCAACTCGGCGTCTGTATATTTCCTGGTGATCTTCAGCAAAGGTGGAAAAGGTGGCAAAGGTTTAATTAAATCAAGCACAGCGGATTGTTTAAGTTCAATCATAGGGTTGACTGACACATTTATTAAGACCGATTTCTTTCAAGAACGTTTCTTCAAAGACTTGGCGAATCAGGTCAGAATAACAACGGAGGGAAATTGGCCTTTTATTTTAAAGAAACTTATAAACTTCAACACAAAATGAAATGAAACATTGAAGCAGTATTAACTTACTTTTTACTTGATCAAGCCTTTTGTATTTTTTTTCTCCATTGAATTTTCTATTGGCCTCGCTACAGCTGCATTTTTTTTTTAACCTTATTTATTTTTGTTTATTGATTCAAATTGAGCTGTCTACGGTTCTAACTTTTGTTTGGTCCAGTATAAATAAAGCGCAAAAAATATAAGATGCCGCCGATGAATCGCGCAAATACTTAATTAGATTAGGAACTCAGCTATGGGTCTGTTTCAGCAAATGTCTTTATTTTTAACGTGGTTTATGAGCTTTTTTCTTTTTTTTTCTGCCGGTCCAATTTTTCTTAAGTAATCATATTTGCTTCGCAAAACGAGTGACTAATCGAAATAAATCGAAATTCCAACCGAGGACTGGAACTGAATTTATTATTCTTCGGCGAGTTGTGTTACGACTCCTAACGAAGTTCTTTCGTAGTTGGAAGATTTTGTTTTCTTGATGATAGAGGCGTCGGAGTGGTAGAAGGCTGGAGTACGAAAACGAAATATTTTTAATAGCTGACGTAACTGGTATTCGGAGTAATGAACGAAAATTTATAAAGACAGAGAATTGAGAAATTACACTATCATGAGGATTTTTCACAACGATTCATAATGTTTTATCATCTATTGTTTTCAAATTATCTACAAGTTACAGAGTATGCATCGCATATTATTATAATTATATTATTTCCTCTTAAATTTTAAAATCATTTTCCTTGACGTGTTCAGCTAAAAGCCATATCTGTCAAATCTTTACTTGCTTGCTATAAAGGCAAAGAAAAGGAATGGTGTTTATTATACTGGAATGTTTTTAAACTTGAATGAGTGCATTTTGTAAATGAGCCGGTTTGAAAGAGAAAAATAAAAATAAAAAATCAGTCAATGTTTTTGTCTTCTTTAGGTCTACAGCCCATTGACCTTGTAAGAGCGACAGTCATCTAATTCCTT